CCGGCACACACACACACACACACACCAGCCAGAAAAGGGATACCCAGTTGGCTCTGGACCCGGCAAATGTACCTGGGCTCCCCCTGGAGGCGACATTCTCCGAGGTCCCCAGTGTCCCTCGAAGGTATTCCATTGTAATCCCGGGGAATTGATACACCCTTCTGCTCTGAAACTTGGCCTATGCTCGAGGCGGCAACCCCTGACTTCTGCGTGGCAAGGCTTGAACACACCCATCTGGCCAGATCCCGTTCACTGGCCAAGAGTGCAGCATTGAACATGAGGCACTGGAGCGGGGTGCACTCAGCGCCGACACCGCACCCCACCCGTCTACTTGCTGACTAGAGATAAATCGCTTCCTTTCATCGATTCACAGCATTAGAAAAACGCAGCGTTGAGAGGCAAAGCAGAGGTCAACCGGACCATCACCCTTAGGTCGAAGGGAAGAAAACTGAGACCTAGAAAGGAGAAGCGGTTGTCCCAAAGGCTTCCAGCTGTTCCCAGTACTCAAGGACTTGGAGCACACTTGGGGAAATGTTCACTGTTGTATTCCCATTCGTTACTTTCCAGGAGGCTTGACCTCTCAAACTCCGAATCTGAGTTCCATTCTCCCAGGAAGGCTTCGCAAATCCCTGAAAGTTCCTTGCAGATTCTCACTGAGCATCTCCCGGGCTCCACCCTTTGGCCCTGTGTGTCAGCAAGAAGGTATGCACATTGTTAGCTGCTTTAGATGCAATGAAGCTGGAAGATATTTTGTATGTACTAAATAACAGGTTGAAGAAGGCAGTACAGTGCCTTAAGGTCAATTTCTGGTTCAAGACCGGTCTCTGCCACTTCCTCTTAGAGGGAAAGAGAGCAGGACCTGTCCCATTCTTCGCTTGCAGGACCATTTGTTCAGGCAGCATTTACAGGGACTCGTATTCTGAAAGGAGGGTATACCAGAGGAGCTTGAGGAGGAGAGCACTCAGCCAGGAGAGCTGAGTTTAGTCCCAGCTCTGACCCTGGTTAGCAGTGTTACCTTGAACATGTCACTTCCCTTCTCTGGGCCTCCGTTTTCTCATCTATAAGTGAGAACTAAGAGTAGGAGAAGCTCTGGGAATGTCATAGCACTCCAAGTGGGGAACTGATGTCCGATGAATCATGCAGTGGTGACTTCATTGGTGACAGTGACCTCATTCTTTTGGCCCATAGAGATGCCAAAACTGACTGCCAGGAATACTTAGAGCTCTGGGGTTGATCCCCCTTGGTGTGTACGTGGGGTGGGGAGGAGGGCTATCCAGAATGCCCCTCTGTTAGACCATGAATGCCTTAGCTGGAAGCACCAATCGGACCTCAGCAGAAATCTTAATTTCCATGGGCAAAGAAGATAATGTCCAAGTGGTTTAAAAAAAAAAAAAAAGTTTAAAGAAAAAGCTCTCAAATTTCAGGGATTGGAGACAGAAAGCACTTTGTTTCCAAGTGTCCCATAGGCTGTCTGCTTGCAGCTCTCCTTTTGTTTGTGCAAATGTTGAAACAGACACAGGTCAGTGTGAGAACAGTGAAATTTCTTTCTTTCTTTTTCTTTTTCTTTTTTTAAGACAGGGTCTCACTCTGTCACTCAGGCTGTAGTGCAATGGTGTGATCTCAGCTCACTGCAACCTCCGCCTCCCTGGTTCAAGCGATTCTCCAGCCTCAGCCTCCGAGTAGCTGGGAGTACAGGGATGTGCCACCACCATGCCTGGCTACTTTTTGTATTTTTTTGTTGAGCAGGGTTTCACCATGTTGCCCAGGCTAGTCTCGAACTTCTGAGCACAAAGTGATCCGCCTGTCTCAGCCTCCCAAAGTGCTGGGTTTACAGGTACAGGCGTGAGCCACTGAGCCTGTCGAGAACTGTGAAATTTCTAATTAACCTTCTCTTACTCTTTTTCCTCTACTCCCTCCTTCCTCCCCTACTTGATTCGTTCCATATTTCAATTAAAAGCATCTATTGAGGTCTATTAGATGCCAGAATTTATTCCTGGGCAGGGGACAAAGAAAGCCACAGTCACTTCTAGCTGAAGCATTCAAGGAACTTATTAGCAAACAGGTAAGCACTCTATAGTGTGAACAATTCTGTGCTAGAGAATAGAGAATAGACTTCTGGAGGTGCAGAGGAGGCAGTTAGTACACAGCTCTGGTTGTGCTGAGGAAGGATTTGCAGAAGCAGTGTCATTGGCCTGGAGCTTAAGAGTAAGGAGTAAGGTGAGAATGCCTGGGAAAGGCCAAGAGCCCTGCATCAAAGCAAGAAGGAACAGCACACAACTTCCTGGGAATGGCAAGGCATGTAAGGTGGACAGAGTGTATGATTAGTGGTGCTGGGGAACTGGTTTGTATTTAATTGGGAACCATATAATGCAGGCAGTCCATGGGCTTCTGAAAGCCATATGAAGAAGAATGTAGGGTCTGGCATGGGCTGGGCAGTCTGCACTGTAAAAAGGCCAAAGGCCAGGGCCAACGGGACCACTAGGAAGAAATCTGGCCCACACGCTTACTACAAAGGCATGGCCCCAGCTCAAGGCTGTGTTCATTGCAAGAAGGGGCACTTTTTTCTTATCACAAATGTGACTTCTGTTTGTCAAACCCTGTGCCCATAGGGGTGTATTCACTCAGAGGGGAAGCTTTTCTGTGAAGCAAAAGATGAAGGCAAGCAGTGGCACTGGAAGCGAGGATGTATTAAAGGGAATAAACACGAATTTGCAGAACCTTTGCCCTATACTGTATCCAGTTATGGTCTCGGGTATTTGATGCTCATTGATATAGGACATCTTATTTCATCCCCCAAATAACCAAGTAAACTTTGTAGAGAGTATCTATTGGTTTGTCTATCCAGAACAGCACCATTTGCTTCTGCTAAATATTTTTATAATGTAATCTCTGTAATAGTGTGGTTTAAATGGAAGCTGCCATCTTCTTATACATCCTGCCCCTGGATAGCTGTTGGTTAGCCCTAGGTGGACACCTGATTCAAGATGGGACAATCAGAACTCTTTCCTGCTGAGCTTTTTTTTTTTTTTTTTTTTCTGAGGCAGAGTCTCACTCTCTTGCCCAGGCTGGAATGCAGAGGTGCAATCTCAGCTCACTTAGCCTCAACCTCCCAGGCTCAAGCGATCCTCTCATCTCAGCCTCCCAAGAAGCTGGAATTATAGGTATGAGCCACCAAGCCTTGCCTGAGAATTTGGAATTTGGGATTCACAGCAGGAGTTTCTCCTCTTTTGCTAACTGAACTGGGCAATGTGAGCCTGGAAGCTGTAGGCCATTCATGTTTCAGCCGTTCACAAAGTAGTCAATCCAAGGAAATGTTGCTGAAGTGCAGAGAGAAGCAAAGATGGAGAGAGAACACCACTACCACTACCACCACTACTCCCCTGTGAAAAAGGCTTATGCCTGTAATCCCAGCACTTTGGGAGGCTGAGGCGGGTGAATCACAAGATCAGGAGCTCGAGACCAGCCTGGCCAATATGGTGAAACCCCATCTCTACTAAAAACACAAAAATTATCTGGGAATGGTGGCATATGCCTGTAGTCCCAGCTTCTCGGAGGTCTGGGGCAGGAGAATTGCTTGAACCTAGGAGGCGGAGGTTGCAGTGAGCTGAGATCACACCACTCTACTCCAGAGGCTCAGTCTCAAGTAAAAAAAGGAGCAGAGAGAAAAGGGCCGTCTGTGAGTTACTGATATGCATAATGCTGGTGATCCTGTTGCACAACTGTTCTCCTGTTGGTCAGTCGAGTTAATAAATCATCCCCTTTTTTGCCCAGTGAGTAGGGGTTAGTTTTCTGTAACTAGTAACCAAAGGAATCCTATTACAATATTATCACTATAGTTCAGATAGGTGATGAAATTAAGCTAGCCCCAAATCACATGGCTGATAAGTGGCAGAGTTAGGATTCAAAATCATCTGCCTTCAAAACTCATGCATTTGCCATGTTTCACTTTGACAAGGTATCAAAAGTTTTTGAGAAGAAAACTGACAAGCTTTGACCTATTTTTGAGAAGGTCACTCTGGGACTCATAGAAAATGGATTTGGAAAGGATAAGGGTGAAGGTGGAAAGAGCCAGGAGGAGACAGATCACAACAGTCTGACCCAAGCATGGCAGTGAACATGAAGAGGAGGTAGTGGGTTTTAGAGAGATTTGGATGATGGCATCCACGGGGCTTGGTAGTAGTGTGGGGATGACAGAGGAGGCGAGAGAGAACAAGGTTTCTACGATAACTCTGAGGCATCTACATTACGATTTCATGTACCTTTTCTTTTTTTTTTTCTTTTTAATGTCTGTTGTTATCTTCCCACTTCTTCTTTGGACTTCTTCCTTGCTTTTTAAGCCTTTCCATCTCCGATTGTTTCCTAACCACGCAACTGACTGTCTAAATCAAGCTGAGATTAGAACTCCAGAGGACAGTATGTTCTAAAACACATTCATTTGCATCATTTTGTGTGCTCCCTCATGTCTGCTTAGGAAATGGAAAAATGGACTCCAAGGGCTCATTTGGTGTTG